CTGTTATAATAATTTTCTCTGTCCTTTGCTTTCTATGAAGAATGTGAACAATTCACCTACTTCAGCCTATCAAAGAAAAATGCCAGGCATTCTAGTCTACCTTCTCAATTTCTCATTATGACTACATTTGTAGATTCTTAATAAGTATGACTTTCCACAGACTATGAAGACTTGGCAAAGATGTGACATTTGCACTGAGACCAGACTTACAATTAAACAAGAGCTGAAGTACTGGGTTCATGGGTTAGTGTAGAATTCTCATTCAGGTTCAGGTCTGACATTTATGAAGACTAACAGAAGTTTTGCAGAAAAATCCCATTCTTGGTTGTGGCTGAAGTTCTGGCTTTAGATTATAAGCAAGTGAAAAACATGGAGAGGTTAGTCTAGATCCAAATGAAACTCCCATCCGAATTGAGAGGCATTTCAGGTTTATATTCTGGCCTACTTACATGTGATCTTACTTTGTCCTACCTCATTTCTGTAACCTGTTTTAAGTGCTGCAGGTTATGCTGCTGTATTTCAGCAACGCTGAGCTATCTGCAGTGCTCTCAAGCTATGAGGTTGCACAGGGTGTTAGGCAATAAGTCTTCTGCACTGTGTGCTGCCACAGTGCAGTCACACACCCCTCAGAGAATCCAGAAGATGCCCTTCTGGCAGCAGTTGGGCCTGACCTTGCACACGGCCATTCCTGGCCTATATCTAGGTTTGCAATGAGTGGTGGCAGAATTGAGCAGAGCTGATTAGGGTCCTGGGGAATCTCATGCCTGTACCCTGTTGAGATTTACCCCTGTAACGTGTCAGTGAGTATTTTACTGGACTTACTAGGGAAAGAGCACAGGGTAGATTTAGGCTTGGGGTACTTCCCTGAGCTTAGCTGAAAAGGCACCTCCGTGTGCATTTTCCAGACACTATCATCATCAAACTCATGGGACAAAGATAAAATCTATGTTAGCAAATTTTCTTTAGAAGTGCCATGCAGCCTGATAAGTTTCTTTAGTAGCAACAACCAATAAAAAGTGATTTTGAAAAGTCTGCAATGTAGAAATAAATTGCCTAGTTGTCTCTGTGTGTGTGTGCCCTTTTTTATGCTGCAGCTGCTGAGTTGCCCAATCCAGCCACAATATTGCAGTGATGCCTTTAAAACTTTAAGATATTTAGTTTTCCTTCACCTCTTACTCCTGTTGTCCATGGTTCCTGTATCTCCCTTCAGCTCATATGTTGTGTTTCCTTTGTTCCAATCTGTTCAGAAAGTAAATAAATCCAATTTCTCTCTCTCCTCTCAAGTCATGTTTCAAGACTCAATTTTTAGTCTTGAGAAGGTCAGTATTTCAGTTCTTCAGGATAAGGGCAGAAGCCCCCAGAGAACCCTTTAATATCCCTCACCTGTGCTGGAGGCAGGACCTGTTCCAGTAGTGTCCTGTGGATGGATCTGCACTCTACAGTTGAGACCTCTGAGTGAGTGCTGGTCCAAGTCAGAAAGCCCACAGGGTGCAGCACATCTCTTTGCAGAAGTAACAGCTCATTTTTGAAAGCAGTATGGTCATGCTTGCCGTTACCCCTCAGCTGATGAACATGCCTCTCTAAGACTATCTGAAAGCTTGTCCATGCAGAGGGAAGAGCTTTCTCATGCTATTTGGAGACTGTGGGAAAAAAAGTTCACCCTTTTTCATCTGAAGATGCTGCAGAGTATCACCAGTCCACTCTGAGTACCAGATGTACATCTTCAGCCTATCTTCTCTATCTCAAAGAGAATGTTGAAAATTGAAATTAAACTCTCTACCTGGCATAATGCTGACCAGACCCTTCAGAGGGACCTTTGGGCAGAGTGAGGCAGAGAGAACGACCCACTTATGAGAGAAGAGTGACAGGGTGTTTAGAAGCTGCAGTGGTATAACACACTAACAGTATCAGAGACTCAGTTTACCCTGCTGTCGCTTTGTTTTGGGACACTGTTTTATACTGAGATGTCACACTAGATGGTGCATTCGGCAAGAGATTGAAGAGATTGATCTTCCCAAGCTGAAAGCCTTCTGCATAAGGCTGACGGTAACAAAACCCATTTGCTGTGTACACACAGTACAGCCTTTTCATAACTTTTTGCAACTTTTCACAAAGTTGGCCCTTCTATGCAATTTGACCACAGCTGTGAATGTGACTGACCACAGCTGCCAAGGCAAAACTTTGTGACTTTGGCATTTATGTTTTTTTTGCCCATCACAGATCTTTGACTAATTCACAAGTCACTTAAAAACAAGCAAACAATAGCATATTGAGTTTGAGGGATGCCTGTCTTCAGATAGAAGAAGGATCTGTTAGAAAAATACTGAAATTCATTATTAACCTTCATTTCCTACATCACATCAATCTAGATGAATTAAAGAGAACTGAAGATGTGCACATATTGATTTATTTGCTGGAGAATAAATGTGATTTATTTGCATATGGCCAGATACATTTGCCATAGGGCAGAGCTTCCTATGAGCTGTCCGGTGAGAAGTGATGGCTTTCTTTCCCCTCTCCAGAATGGAGAACTAGCCTTCAGGCAGGACTGTGGGACCGTGCATATAGGCAGAGATCCCACACTTCCCTTGGGTGTGTGAAAACCCTTCTGTGTTCGGGCTTTGGGACAGGAGGAAGCTCCAAATGAGGAGCAGGCAGCACAGCAAGGAGCACACACATTGCTAGGAACTGCTGACACCTTCACAAGGAGCTTAGAATAGCTCTCCGGGTTGGAGGTGTGTGCTCTGGGTTTGCTCCGGGAGCCGAAAGCTTTCTTTGGGACGCATATTATGTCAAGAATCACTAGGTGGTGCTGTTACACATAAATCTCGCAGTTTTTCTTGGTATTCACACTTGCTATTTTCAGTCTTCCGAGAAACGGTTCAGCACTTCATTGAAAAGCTGCTGAGACAGAGAAAAGTAGCAGGCAGCAGTAGCTAGCTGAAAGGGACTGTAGCTTCTTCAGACCCTCGCATCTGCTTGGGCTGCGTTTTCTGGAGGAAGAAACCGACTGTACACAGGTAGCACCCACCCTCTTCCTTGGAGAAGTGTGTATGCTCAAATCCAGAATCCTTTCTCATTGAAAACTCAGCTTTGAGGGCCCTGGATTTCTGGTTCCACAGCACTCTCTTAGCTCACATGGAGAAATTCACATGAAGTTCACAGAAAGGGAAATTTTAATAAAGGAGAGTTGCCTTCTAGGGTCATAGGTGGATAAGTAAAATAATGTCAGAAGAGATTAGGAATATCCTGAATGTGAATTCTTTAGAAAAGGAACTGGCTCAGGTTAAAGTAAATTTCTAACAGTTTTTCCTCATTTAGAGAGAATTTTAAGCACTTTTAGATTTCAATTTTTTTTTTTTCTAACGGGTTTAGAATTTTACTTTTGATATTATTTAAAAAACATTTACCTTGATGATTTTAATTTACTAAAAATTGGTATATTTTAAATGAAAACACACCCATACATATGAATATGATGTAGTTATTTAGATTCTATATATTGTACAAATGTACACATAGATCCCATCATTCTGTTCTAACATCAATAGTAACTTAAGGAAATTATTGGGAAACCAGGCAATGAAACTTGTCATGAAGAAAAAGCAGAAACTCAGTCTATTCTTCTCTTAATAACTAATTTCTTGCAAGCCATCTGACCTTTTCCTTAACCTTTTATGTCCTACTCTTTGCCTTGGTTGTCCAGTTCAGGCCTTCATCCTTCAGACGTTTACTAGTTACTGCATGTGTGACCATGTATTTTAATGTTTTCAGGGTAGGGCCTTAGACCTTGCTTACCAGAAAGAAATTATAATGAATTAAATGTACTGATTTAGAAACTGATTTAGTTAAATCAGTGCAACTCTCTTAGGCACTTCACACCACTTCAGTTTAAGTCATGAGTCAGTGAGTAACAAATCAATTCTGTTGAGTGAGAAAGATTAGACCGGATCTTCAGCTCTTCTATCTCAGTATTTATTAGGCTAAAGCCTCTTCAGGGCTTGTTGCTGTTCTCTTTAATTTTCTCTGCCTAATGGACCTGAGCCAGCTCTTGATGGCATAAACGAGGGTTTTTCCATGACCTCCAGCTGGGAGCTGGAGATGGCAATATCTTTATTAAAAACCTAGAGAAATTACGAATGACAAATAGCTGAAACTTACCTCCTCACAGCATACAGAGTTCTCAAATTGTGGCTCATATTGCAGAAATCACCTCTGCTCTGAATAATGTAGTAGTTTACATCCAGGGCAAGAAAATTCAATCTTTAAAGTCATCAATTTCTACTAACATTATGCTAAGAATATCACCATACAGAGAGTCATAATCTGATTTAATTTTCCTAAAACAGCAGATAAATAAGATCTCTCATATATTTTGATATGGCATAAAAATAATCTTTTTGTCAATTTCCACAGATTTTGTTCATTCATGTTGAATGGACTCAGGACTCGGATTAATCCTGGTTTTATACCAGCATAATCAGAAACTATACTGATGTTGCACTTCCAAATCAAAGAGCACAGCTTTTTCAAAATGTGTTTAAAAAAGTTCTTGCTCTTTGTTGTTGCTGTTGTTATTCTCCTTCTCTATCTTTGTTCACACTTCTACAAACTGGTACTAATAAATAGGAAGGATATGTGAGAATATGCTGAATGAGCATATGCTGAGTTCCACTCACTGAATATGTTGCTTACTGTTCCCAAAGCTTCTTATTCCTGGCTCTAGAGAGTAGCAGTGAAGCAGGACTTGAACTCTTGAAAGAATTTGCCTATTCCAGAAAAGAGAAACTTCTTGACAAACCTAAGATTTTGGTTTAGTGTGAAGTAACTTTCCTCTTTCTGAACTGGATGTTGACAAAGCTGCAGACTCTGTAATCAGCATTGTCCTAGCACACTCTTACAATTCACCTACAGCTCCTGGAAGTCCTTGTATTGGAAGTAGTGATACCCCCTTCTATTTCCATCTCTATTCCAAATACGATTTCTTACTTATTTTGCAGGTTTATGATGGAACTTACATCTTTGCCTAAATTCCTTTGGACAAGTGACAACAAACTTCTGCATCACCATTTTCCGGATATATTGGCTACTGTTCATACCACACAAGACATTGCTGAAGAAGTTGTTTTTGGACCCTGCATGCTCCAGAACACCCTGCTGGACACTGTAGCTTTTATTGCTCTCAAGTGTTCCGATAGAAGGAACATTCACTATGTATTTAAGGTAGGAGAAAGCATCGTTTAATTTTAGTCATATCATAAAGGGTTACACCACACCTCGGAAGGTAACTTTGCCAAGGGGGAGATTTTTGTTTCATTCAGCACAACTAACAGCTCCTTCAAAGGGGAGAAGTAGCCAGTGCATTTCTGATTTATGAGCTGCAGACTGGAGGGACCTCAGTGAAAACTCTTTCCTTCGAAGGAAGAATATGAAGTCCCACTTCTATGCTGGTGATTGATGACCTGCTTCAGCACTGACCAGGAATAGGAGGAAAGAGGGATAAATAGTTCAGAAACTTCATGCTCAGGTTTCATCCTTACAAAGGATAAAGGAGGCTTATCAGGAGGTGACAACCCTGAGAGCAGAGAGGGAAGACTGTGTGTGACATTGCACTCATTCATACAGGTGGTAGATTCACAGTATTTATTGGCAGATCTAAGAAAGTGTTAACTCTGTTTGCTCAATTGTCTATAAAATAAAATCACAATGGCTGTGATCTCAGCACAGGCTGTATGCACTATAGAAGGTATCAATCAGGCAACCAGTTCACACAGTCTTCAGGGAGCCACAACTTATTGCTGTTTGTACATGCATCCCCTAAAGTTAGCTTAGATATATCTGTCTGTGTTACAGCTGCCTTTTCAGTCATAGAGAAGCCAGAGTGTGAAACAAAAGGAACGGTCATGTAGGGAAATTAAAAAACCCCAGGATTGTGATGGAGTGTTAACTTTCCAGCTTTACTTCCCCATTTTTTTGTTCCCTAGCCACTCTTTATCATAACATTTTTATTTGGACAATGCATATTTCTCTTACTGGACTGTTACCTTGGCTCTCTGGCTCCTGGAGTGTACTGCAGTCATCATTAGTCTAGATGAAGACAGAGAAGTAGTGTTTTACAATGTCAGGCAAGCAAATTTCCCACATGCTACGGCATGGATGTATCTGGGAGAAACTCAGTTTCTCCTAAGATTTCTGTGTTCTGGACAAGAGAAATCTCACAGACTTTTTGTAATATGGAATATGCAGCTGTTGGGAGACACCTGCTTGACACTTCTGCTTTAAACAAATTAAGAAAGAAGAGGCTTCAGGGTTTTTCTGTTTTGTTGAGTGTCTGGCACACTTTTGCTTGCTTGGACAATGTTATTAGTACTCCAGGAGAACTACAAGCTCTTTGGAGAAAGATCTGCTCTGAAACAAAGCTTTATTTATGGAATGTTTCTGTATTTCTCCTGGGAGTTTTGGAATTGCTGTAGACTCAAGAAAGAGCCTCAAAGGGTTTTTTTTTTTTTTTTTACATTGGAAAAGCCCTCCAGAGGGATGGCTTTAGTGTTTTGCTATACTTGAGCTATGTAATTGTTAGGCAGCCATGAAACTGGATGTCTGAGTTTTCCCAGATCTCTGTTTTTTGGCAGTAAATACATCAAATTCTGTGCAAGTAGCTGTTTCAGATGCAATTGCAAGTCCCATATCCTGCTAGCTACTTACAATTAAAATCAAACCTTCCAGAAATCACAAACTATTGTTATGGTCCTAACTCTGTGTAGAGCCAACCAGGATTTCAGTCAGGAATGTTAGCATGGCACTAAGGTGCAATGCAAGAAATGGGTTTTCATATGCTGTCTATGGTACAAAAAAAATACATGCAGGAATAATAAGGCAAGGTGGATTGTTCACAGCTGAGGCTCACATTCGTCATAGTTCAGCAGCATTCCTGCAAGACTGTGGGGAATATAATTTCTAACAAGGGTTTTCTCATCTTGGGCTTTTATGTTTAATCCAAAAGGGAGTTCTATGTTTCTACTCTCATCCTCACAAAGACCCTAATTTTAGCTCCTTGTGCTAATTTGTACACTTGCGCAAAGAAAATGCCTTGGCAACTGTTGGCATAGGTGGTTCTTTCCAGCCATTCACCTCAGCAAAGCAAACCAGTGCCTTACAAAGCTCTCTGTCCCACTGGGTTCTTCTGCTCCTTACAGCTTTTTGTGAGTTTCAAGAAACAGTCTTATTCTGTCACTTCTCCTCCATCCTCAAGGAAGCCACTTTGCCTCCTTAGCCCAGCTGTGATTGAGCCTGTGGGGCTGTGAGGCCCTTACCTCGTATATAGATGTAAAAGATTCATTTGAGGTGTTGCCATCTCCAGAAGAGGGTGGCCTTGCAGGGTTTATAGTGTCTCTAAACACATGGGGAAACTAAAACTGGAGCATGCTTCTAATTGACAGCTCCCAGATCTTAATGTTCTGTGCTTTATTCCTCCCCACCTTCTTTAATCTGTCTCAGCTCTTTCCCTGGGGTCCTGGTTACTGGAGGAGCTGTGTTCCCTTTGACTTTGCTTAGAGGGCCGGGTGGATGCTTAGTATTTCTGAAACACAGAAACTAATAAATGACAGCCTCTGTCATAGTTATTAGTTACAACCATTGTGTGTGGGTGGGTGTGCTTCTGTTACTGTCAGACTTCTGTATTTCTCAATCACTGTTAATTATCATGGTGTTTAGAGAGAGCCTGTTACAGGGCATGCTAAATTATTTTCTCTTTTATACTAATTAATTCTCATCCTAATGGTCCCTTAATGTTTCATTCTTTTATTCAAGCTACTAAATGTGGTCATACTTTTCATGGGAGGAAAAATAGCCAGTGGAGGGGGGAAAAACAGCCACCATACTGTTTCTGATACCAACCACCAATTAATGGCTACCCTGCAATTAGTAGAAAACAAAGAGCTATGCATTGCTTGGGGTAAAATTTAAATCATACCTGTCATTAGACATTTTTTATTTCCTATTTCCCAACTTCTTCCTTTCTGAACAATGACTTAGGGCTTACAAATTAGTTGAGGCTTTTTATGCATGTAAATGTTACCATTGATCGCCCTGCATTTCAGCCTCCAAGCTATGAAAATCTTCCCCGTCTTTCAAATACTGCAGAGGACATAGATCTGCTGTGGTAAACACCAAGGGAAAACCTATAAGTAAATAAATCAATCATTCCTTATTCAGAGCAAATGCAATAAAGTAACTAAGAAGGGAGCCTCACACTAAATAAGGACAAAGCCAAATGTTTTAGAGTTATATTATTTCCAGAGCATGGTCAGCCTGTGACTGAATGACTCAGGAGCCCTGTGGAGAAAAGAGTATATGTGACTGAGGACTACGCTGTAATATACAAGCAAAAGGGAAATTTCATTTCAGCAGTAGACTTAATATTATTTTTTTAACTACTGAGTGCCTGACCTTGCAACCTTAGCAACATTTTTTAACTTAATTTGTTTGGTATTTCTGAATGCACACATCCTGAAAGCAAATCAACCCCTCGCAACTCTCAGAAATAATGTAATAAAAAATATTCATCTGATGAGTTTTTATCTGTTTAAGTACAATGAAGTGAATTTAATAAATCTATCAAAGACAGAAATAGGAATATATAATTTTATATCTGAAAAAAGACATCATTTAAAATCTTATTTATATTTATTAAAAATTAATTTTTATATTATGTACACAGTTATATATGCAGATGTTGTCTCCTTGGGGTATTGAATTAAATAACCAGGATTATTCTGACACCTCCTGATCCATACGCTCTTATACTGGTGAAAAACTCCACATGAAAGTGCCTTGAGTGTGTGTTCATTTCCAGGCTCATACTGCTCTGATCCAGGGGCTGCACATCTCACCCCCACCCCCCCAACCACAGCACTTGTGGTCTCCTGACTCATATCCCATTTTCCCATTGGATTGAGACCCCTTCTTACAGAGGAACTCAACTTCTGTACCTCTGTGATCCACCCCTGATACTGTCCCTTGGGACAACCTGCACTGGACAGAGGACACTATGCTTGCCATGAGTGTAACTAGAGACTGATCGGCATACCAGCCCTGTCACTGCTATGGGAGGTTACATGTGAACACTGGTCAGTCTCATTCTTCCCATGCATCTGTATTTCCAGAGCTCTCAGCACTCATACCCGGGAAGCCTTTTGCCAATGATGATTTTGGATTTGGTGACAGTCTATGAACTGGGCTCACAGCTTTGGCATAGTGGCTCTGTGTGAGGCAGGAAATAGGCTTTGCTCTTGAATTTGATGGAAATCTATTTTGGGTCCCAAAACCTAAACCCTGTTTTTTGTATCCTGTCTCACAGGTAGATGTTACATCTGTGCACAGTCCCACAGGTTTGCCTTGGATGAGACTTGTACAAGCAGCTGCCAATAGCAATGAGCAGAACTTGGAAGCTTACTTAGAAAACAGTCAGTTATATTATCGCTCTACCAGGAAAATCAACAAAAATGAGGAGCTGCTTGTCTGGTATGATGAGGAGCTTTCCAGCCTCTTGGGTTTCAATGAGATAAAAGCTCAGAGTCCCCAGAATGGTAAGTACCAAGCTGCTGACTGCAGAGGTCACTGAGGACTGAAGTGAGTCTGCAACTTCTTTAGCATGTGGTGATCTTGTAATACAGGAAGTCACTGTGTACTGCCCAATTTACATAATACAAATTTGTCTTCAAACTCAAAATGAAAGTTGTTTTGCTAGTAGCATATGGAGGCAAATATGAGTGAACCATTTTCCACAGCAGCAAGGAACCTGATCTCACGCTGGCATTAGCTTTACCATGTGTAATCTTGCATGACATAAGAGATGTTTCTGTATTTTCTTTTTTAGCAATGGCATGGTCAGGATCTGCATCCATCCGTGATTCTACCTTTGCAAAACTCATCATCTGTTGTCTGTTTCTGCAGAGTTGAGATGCCAAGAATGTGACCGAGTCTTCAAATGTGAGCATTCCTATCTCTCCCATGTCCGCTTCCTATGTGTCCCAGAGAAGTGCGCCCTGCTTTGGAAAAACTTCCAGAACCCAAAGACTGAAAACAGCAACTTAGATGAGCAGACCACGAATTTCCACAGCTTGGCAAGGGATCTAGAGGTCAAAATGACAGCTTGTAAAGATGATGCCCATGGTGTCACAGGAGAAAGGAGAGCAAAATCTGAAGAGGCTGAGAACAGGAGCAGGAAAACAGTGTTGTTAGAGAAAACCAATAACCTGAGTGAGGAACATAACTGTGGGAGCAAGGAAGAGGTTGGGGGAGAGCATGCATTGGTTGGTTCTTTCTTGAAGCTTAGTTCAGGGAGGCAGTCAGCTATGAAGGATAGTTCAGAGCAGAAGCAGAGTGCTTTCACTGAGGTCAGAAGGATGAAGGAGAAGATGAGGAATGACAGGATGAAGGAGCCAGAAGAGGAGGATGGCATAGTCCTACCTGGTGAAGAGCAGGTACCAAAGGAAATGTGGCTGAACTCATCTGGTAGTGCATTCTCCTTTGTGTGGCCCACCAGAACCCGAGGAGAACAGAAGAGTGCTTTCAGCAAACCCAGTAAATGTCTGATAGAAAGACCTGCGATAAATCCTTCTCATTCCATGAGTGAGTCACCAAAGAGCTTGGGAGAGCTGTCTGGCTTCATTGCCACCACAGACATCATGTGCTGCAGCACCCTTCTCAATTCCAAGTTCTTTGTCAGCGATTTGTGTAATGCCCAGATGCTGCAGACAAGCATCACTCAGAGCAATGTTTTCCCATATACCTCAGAACCATGGCCCAAACAAGCAGGAAGACAGTTACAAAACACAACCACCACTTCTTCCTCCTCCTCCTCTTCCTTGACTCTTCTTCCCCCCACCTTCACATCCTTTGGAGTGGCTGCCCAGAACTGGTGTGCGAAATGCAACCTGTCCTTTCGCATGACATCTGATTTGGTCTTCCACATGCGGTCACATCACAAAAAAGAATACTCCTCAACTGAGTCCCAGTGTAAGAGAAGACGAGAGGAGAAGCTAACATGTCCCATTTGTCATGAGTACTTCCGAGAACGCCATCATTTATCCCGACATATGACTTCTCATAATTAGAGCTGTGCAGATAAATCTCACCAAGGGACTGGGCAGGCTGGGTAAAGAAGGGAAGCACAGTATGCTTGTATCCATTTCTTTTTGAGTTTACTTTTTACTTTTTAAAATTCTTTTAATTAATAATTTTAATTAAAATTTAATTTTTTAATTATTTTTTAGTTTACTCTTTAATTTCTTGCAGAAAATCGCTGTTTACAGTAATTTATAATAGATGCTTTGCAAAAAAAGAAAAAAAGTGAAATGTTTACAGGAGACTGAATGGGTTGCAAGTTTTGAAATCTCAGCCTAGCCCTTGTCAATCTATTTTTGAGGAAATAAAATAGTGAAATCAATGCGCATGCCATATTAATTTGCAAGGAGTTGGGGATAAAACTATTGTTTTGCAAATAGTTTTCTTTCTTGGTATTTTATTTGCTTGTGTTGGCGCAGTACAGTATAAATACAGAAGTAACAACCACCACTTTGAATGAGGACTATTTAAGCACTTAGCATATCAAAGCTTATATGCTGAAAGAAAGAAGATGCTGTTTCTTGCAGGTTTGGTGGACACTTGCTCCTTCATGGTAACTGAATCAGCTCTCTTACCAGATTTGTGAGCCTAAGTAAAAACCTTATATCTCACTGTCAGCTTGGCTGGGACTTGAAGTTATGACTCTATCTGATATATGTGATTGTCAACAGCTGAACAATCGACTGCCAAAGATGTGTCTTGTAAATCAGAATATCTGAGTTCTGTTCTAGGCTCTGCCACTTTTGAAATACCTTTTATAAAGTCAAATAAGCATTCTGCCCTGATGTGTGCTTACAAGATCTGTGTGACTTTAGCAGATGTACAGGTCTGATGAAGGTAGAGTTTGGCGTAGAAAACAACTAGGGTATTTAAGTTGCTATTAACTACTGATAGATAGAATCTACACACCTTATTTGTGGATGATAGGCTCTGTTTTGCTATCAGTGCAAAGAATGTCCTTCACAAAATATGAATAAATGACTTTGCAATATGCTTATTATTTCGACCATACTGATGGTATAGTCCAGTGTTTGTCTACTGCACAGGAGACAGAATTTTTCTTTGAGTTCCCATGATGATGCCTAGGCTGATAACACAAGTATCTGCAGATAAACACATTTTAGTGATGAAAGACAATATGAGATTCTTAGGTTGTCAGTTGGGGTCAACATGTTACTTATTGTCATCTCTTGGGAGATTTCTGTAAGTCAGGAACTATATTTTTTCCCAGTATATTGCTGTTGAACATCAATATGTGGCTGTTTCCTATTGACATAAACATTTGACTTATTGCAGGCCAACCACAGGCTGTGCACCCCAGCTTTATTTTCCCAACATAAAGTGAATAAACTGTTAGACTATGCCTTTGAGTTCAGAAGACATAAATTGAGACTGCAGGTCTGGTTGGATTGTAACACAGTTTTCCAAGGTCAGTGGTGGAAGCCCTTTCACTGGAGTCATTAAAAAACAAATGAACAAAAGCTTTGAAACATGGAGTGAAGGGAACAACCTTGCATTGAGTAGGGCATGATGTGGTTTCTTTCTAATCTTTCCATCTCTATTTTCTCTCCAATAACATTAACTGTGTAAGGAATATATTTATGGCAAGGTTTAATGGGCCCAGTTTCACTTCATCTGGTTTTATCTGGGTGCCAGCCAGTTTACTGTGAAGTCAGTGTCCATAAAGTGTAATGAAGGCTCCATGGTGTAACTGCATTCATATGCGGTTAGCGTTATAGTTCCCATTAGTAGTTTAGGCCAGATTGTGATCTCATTTATTCCAGTGCAAATCCAGAATAATTCCATGTTGCTACTTCTGATTTACATTAATTACATTAAGATCAGCCTGGCCCAGTATAAATAAGACTACAGATTTCTTGGTACCATTGCTGCAAAGTGTTCTCTTCTGTACTTACTGAAAGATGCCATGTTTTCTTAATAGTTTTACAGTTAGAAACCTAGCTTCAGATTTCTTCTGGAAAAAGACAAGACTAGCTCTGTAATGCTCCCCAGTATTATGTTGGGACATCACTTCAACATTACTCCAAAGGCCTATTTTTCCAGTGTGCTACACCCAGCATATCATCTAGATGAGAACGAAGCATACCAAATCTAACTGCTTACATGTTTTCACTGATCTGCGTTTGTGTAAGTGATCTTGAGAAAGTGTGGAGAATCAGCCACTGCTGAATCTCAAAACATCCTCCAATGGTGTTTTAAATCTACATCCTTAAAGGTCTCACCAGTAAATCAGACTTCTTCATCCTGCTTATGGTATGAAGCTTAAGCAAGCAGCAAGACTATAGAGAGATATAGCCTTCCTTTATCTTGTGAAGTAGTTTTCTCTGGGGAAAAAAAAAAAAGGATAAGAATTCTTTTCCATTTTTTTAGTGGACATATCTCAGCCACAGCAACTTATATATTGTGACGACAAGCAGTGTGTAAATGCCTTCTGTGCACAGAAAGGCAAGAGAACCAGTTACGAAAAGTGTCAGAACTGATTCAGAACGCAAAAATGAAGTGGAGAAGTTTTAATAAATTTTGTTTCTGGTACTGTCCTCCCCTCCTTGAGCTGCAGGAGCAGTGCAGTTTAGTCATACCATGTAAAGACTGGGGATTTGCCTCTTGCAACATGGAAATCACACTGCAGGCAAATGTGTACAATACTGCCCTTGCTCCTTTGTAGGAGGCCACTGGCATAAAAAATGGTGAACAAATTGCTTCTTATACTCAACTAAAGTGTTTTGTGGACCAAGACTTGTTTGCACACACACTGCTGACCAATACGACATTTCATTGCCTACTACACCTGTGCTGACATCAGAGCAAAGCAGCATAGTTGCCAACAGAATGAAAACTTGATTCCTCATGTATAGAACGAGCCCTTGTGTAAAGTTCCTTGTGCAGGCAGAGGGAATGTCTTATATGTGTCTTAAGTTTAACTGAATGTCTCATCTAAGCTGGGTTACATAAACCAGGGGGCTTATCCAAAATGTTTGCAAGTTTTTTTCTTCAAATGAAAATACTCATACTAAAGCTGAGTGACCCAACTATTGCTGAGGCACAAGGAAGCCTAACGAGACAAAGAAAAACAAACTTCCAATAACTGAGTCATGCTTGAAGCTTTTTTCCCCTTATGTCTAGAAGTCTGAACATTTAAATTGGTGCATATGAAAGGAAATCCTGCTGGAGGAAAGGTGCTCCAGTAAGGCAGGGGGCTCTTGAAGAAATGAAAGGGCTCAAGGAATTCATGAAGGACTGCATTCTGTCCCAGTGCAATACAGTGGTTTTACAGCAGGGATCTGTGTCTTTTCTATAAGTAGAAATGCTTGGAAAAAAAATAGGAGACAATTTGAAGTCAGCTGACTGGTTCTCTTCCTCTCTTTGCTAGCAACTGCCTATGTCATTTGATCAAACTCCGTCTCTCGTGACATCTGTTTCTGGATCAGTAAACACAATGCTGTCAAACTTAGCTGTTCAGGCTGTGTTTCTGCAGTGGGTTGTGCGTTTACTGATAGGGAATGCCAGAGTAGGATATTTGTTCACTCACTGAACACTGAACTCTCTCCAATGAAGCTGGAGAAAGGGCAGCCATTGAAAGGGCACTTAAAATATGCTTTTGAAGAATATTTATTTACTTGCTTTTGGGGGCTAATTTTTCACTAATTGATGCAGTCCGTGGGCTCCTATTGGTATACAGTACAGTTTGAAAGCCACTGGACTAAGGCAGCTTTTTTTGGTATGATCAGAGAAGGCTACACTAGAAGTACTCTCCAGACAGAAAGAATGCATCATTTTTTCTCAAAAAAAAGAGAATAATCTTGCCGGTATTTCTTGGTCAGAATTCTGTGAATACTAAGAGAAAGATCATACTATAAGGAGGCCTGATACATGAAATCCTTTTTCCTTCCTCTAAAAGGAACATGATTAGGATTAAACTTCAGGAAGCTGTTCTAAGTGGGATGGCAAGGAAACGGTGCTATAAATTGTTGAATGTCCATATCAGCTCTGGAACCAGAATAGAGAAGGGTGGCAGTTTCAGCATATTTCATGTTGTGGAAAGGCACTTCTGAAATTGCTTGTCCCTCTCTAAGAAAACTACTGTCAAACTTTATCATTTAAACCACAAACCGTGGATTTTCCATAATTAATTTTCATTCATAGTTTCGTGATGTTCGAACCTTTCAGTGCCATGTAATTTTCTGCATAATTACTGCCTGTAGTTTTGTGAGGTCTGTTGATCACACTGTGTGTGGTCATGGTTTAGGTTGAGCTCAAAGTTAAAGTGGTCACTAGGAATATAAAAAACACCAGATAGAGCCAAACCTGGGAGACATACATACAAAGTGGGACATACACCTCAGGATCTATGTCCTCCTTTACACTATAGAAGATGTAAGATCCATGCAGAAAGCAGCTGGCGGAAGAAAGTAAAGTTCTTGACCACGCAGATGAGAGAGATCTGCTTTAGTTCAGAAAGTTAAGGATAGGATGCAGTTTATCTATACTGCTTGTTATCTCTCCACTCTGAGATAAGCAATCTGGTCCTTTCAGTGTCTTCAAACAAGACATGGTCCTACCTTGAGCAAAAAGTACAATCATACAGAATTTACACTACACGGTATGCAGGTTCTAAGCTCATTGAGAGGGGAATAAATATGACATAGCAGTTTCTAAAGACAGGAACAAATTGCTAGTAGATTATCTATGGAATGATACATAATATTTTGTTGATTAATAAACTTTGTTAAGGTTGCACATTAATTTTCCTGTGAAACTGATCACTTCAGTGAACTAACAGCACTATTGATTTCAAACCAACTCACCAGCAAATGATCTTCATTGTTCATTTTCTCAACTGGATTCCAATTTCTGGACATAGTTGCTATTCATAAGTACTTACCATATTACTGCTGGAAGAAATTATTTGCTATTTGTGCCCATACAATATAGCTTTTGGTCCTTGAGCGAATTGCTAAAGTTTTTAAATGCCGGCTTTAACAACTAATATTGTTTGTACATGACAGCACAACTGATTGTATTTAGGAAAACAACAGTCTATCTGGACCATTTAGATATTAAAGAGGCCTAAAAGACAGCAGAAGAAATACATTAATGTTGTTTACTCATTTATTGACTACTCCAGTCTTTTCCATATTAAGACTCTTTAACATACTTCATACATACATCACTTCACACAAAATTCTGTATGAGTTTTAGTTAATTGAAATATTTTCCACAACACTGAGAAATTTAGCAACGAGCTAGTTCATAAAAATCAGAACACAAAAATGGCCCCAAAGAGTCCAGGTTAGTGATCCCACTGAGTGTAGTTGATAAGACAAACAAGTAGTAAAAAATTGGAAAGGTTTATTTTGTTTAAGTTATTTTCCTGTAAATACTGAGATTCTCCGCAGTTAGATGATCAAACATAATTTATTTAAAAAAACCCAACTCTGCAATAACTTACAAATGACCAAGCAAACATCAATGTGTAGGTACTCAGATCTTAAGTGACTAAATTTTGGGGGAATATTTTCCTAACTTAATTACTTTACAGCTGGAATTTTACAGAGATGAGAAATTTTGAGATCTAGATTACAGTTACATGTATTGCTAAAAAATTATGATTTATTTATTTATTTATTAAAGACAGATATTTAGATAAGAATTGTAAGAAAGACAACCAATGTTGTGCATTAATTAAGCTCATGTCAGTATTCTGTTAGTTGCCTTAGAATACAACATTACCTAATAAGTAGTTTGCTAGCAGAGTGCAAAGGATATTTCTCTGCTATGGTGAACCAATCACTGACCATACAG